ATAGTAAAAAATTTTTGATATATTATTTGGGATTAAAATCAGGCTAGAATGGCTATATCAAACAGTATAATTCTTGAAATTTGAAGGTTAATTCTAAGTCAAGTTCAATATCATCATCTTGATTTGAGCCAAAATGCGCTAGATAATTGAATTTGATATTTTGATTCATATAGCTAAAATTGATTCGAAGGTGAACAGAAATCTTTTTGAGTATTATTTGGATTTTTATTCCAGAACCCACTTTTTAACCTATATGTATTATATCAATCTTAATTGGGAATTAAAAATTTTTTGCTTGATATAATTTTTATACAAGAATCTCATATTGCTGAATTAATTACTTGTAACCTTCGACAAATTCTTGAAGAATTCAAAATTAGTAATAATATACTTGCATTAACAACAGATAATGGAGGCAATATTATAGCATGTGGTAATCAACTAGCATTTGAACTAAATCAAGAATTTAATAATATGAACTTTAATTATTATTAATGTACTACCCATATAAGAGTATAAGCAGAAATGAAATTTGTTGAAAATGAAATTAAAAAGCTTTGCTAGTTTGTCATTAAAGTAAAAAATTTACTATTACTATTGGACAAATTATCAGAAATTTGTACTCTTAAGAAAGTTAAATTTTTAAAACTAATTTTAGATGTAGAAACCCATTGGAATTCTACATATTTAATGATACCTTGACAAATTTTAATGTAAGATGTTTCAGAAATGCTTATAATAATGAATTTTGATGAACTTAATGATTTATTTCCAATAATTTCTGAATAGCGCCATATTAAAGTATATTTTATTTATAATAATTATAATTTTTCTTTTTAATTAATTATTAATTTTCATGGTTTTTTTTTTAGGAATTATCAATAATCTTACAACCTATGTATAAGGCAACTAATTTATTATTATCATTAACAAATCCTACACAAGGTGATATAAGATTAGTTTTTATAGGAATGTTTAAAAAATTGAAATATTATCAAAGGAAATCATGTCAGCAATTTATAACAAATTAAAAAAATATTGGAATAAACATTTAAATCAATCTTCTATAATTTCTTCCTTGTTACAAAATCACATTATTTGAGGATAATTTATCTGAAATTATTAATAATTTACAAGAATTATATACATCATACTTACCCTTAAATAATGATCAAGTAGTACCCAAAGCTAAATTAACTTCTAGAGATTATTTTCTCAATTTGTTTCATCCAAATAATATTCATCAAGTAGTGTCATGTGATGAATTAAATAGATATTTGACCACCCCGGTAAATAGTAATGCAGATCCTTTAGTTTGGTTGGTGGAAAACTTATGAAAAGGATTATCCATTATTATCAATGATTGCTAAGGATTATTTAACAATCCAAGCAACATCGGTTCCTTCAAAAAGGGCATTTTCGATTTCAGGTTTAACTATTTCAAGAACAAGAAATAGATTAGATCCTGAAATAGCCATAATTTGTACGACATTGAAAAAAGAAAAAACAATATTAAAAAATCTTAGAATAGTTTTTTTTTTTTTTTTCTGTAAAAATTTTTTTGTTTTATAATAATAAAAATTGTAAAAGGTATTTTTTTTTCGATTTAATTAATAAAGTTTTATAAATTTTTTCGGTTTAAATTTCAGTTACAGACCAATTCATAAAATTATTGAACTCGGTCCACGGTCTGGTTTTACCCCTTGGACCACATGAAACCGGACCAGATCGAACCGTTAACATCTCTATATTTATTAATATAAAATATAAATAAATAATTATTACGGGTCACTAGATTTACACGTCATAAAACTGCGGTAACCGTTACTTTTATAATAGGTAAATCATAAAACCGTATTTTTGGTAAACTTATGAAAATCTAAATTTAGTCTAAATATATTGTTGGTTATTCGCATGACATGATGATAGTTATAATAACACGAATCGAGTTTTTCCAATGGTTTTCAATTCTTCAAACATTAAATTTCTATTCAAGTGATGGTAAACACTACACAATCAAAACTTAGTTCTAAAGATACCGCGAAGTTGTGTGCAGAATATTTCTTGTGTGGATTTAAAGATGCTTTTGCTTGGCCTTCTAGTTTGATCACTATATACGGGTATAACTTTTTTTAGAGCTACGGCTCATATTTCATATTTTTTTTTTCTTTTTAATAATTTTATTTTCTTATTTGATAATAAGGTCAAGAAAAATCCGACTTCGCACACTAAAATGTCTTGTCTTAAATGGATTGATTTTTTTAGGCAGCATATTTTTTTTTAACCACATTACAATACCTACTTTACATTTCTTTCTTGGAAAACTTTTTACCTTTTCGAACCAAAGAAACAAGGACGATGTTATATATGCACCATTCGTAACAGATACTATCGTAGCATTAACATATCAACTGTTTTGGGTATATCCAATTTTTCTGCTTAGTTTCGTGTTAAATGCTATGTGGTATCAAGAAATTGCGGATCATGCTTATCAAATACATCATGGGCAACCAGTAAATTCACAATGGACATATAATCGAGCGCTTCGGCTTATAGCTGATGAGATTTATCGAGCAATTTTATTCATGAATTATTTGTTTTTTGCTACAACAATATATATTTTACCCATCGTTGGACCAATTATTTCTTTCATATATTTTTGCTGGATATACGCTTATTATAGTTTCGAGTAAGTTTGTTGACTAAATAATTAATTGATTATAATCAATATTTACTCTAATTAAAACCTTAAAAACTGTGTATTCAAATCCATATAGATACAAATGGGTCAACCGAGGATGGAAGTTGGAACAACGAATTCAATATTTTGAAGAAAAGTGGGCTTACTTTGCAGGATTTGGTTTCACCTTTACAATTTTGACATTTTTTGTTGATCAATTTTTGAGTGCTGGAGTATTCGCGCTCTTTTTTCCACTTGTAAGTAATTTTTTTTTTGCTTTTTTATTTATTTTCTTTAACAATTTTCTAATAATATATTTATATATATATTTATATATATATATCGTTTGAAAAATAGTACATCATTATGGCCAATAATGCGAGCCCAATGCCAAGAAAGGATGAACGAGCGCGATTTTCATCATCAATGCCATACAGGTTACCAGTGTTTTGGGTGGCAAGAAAACTTAATGATAAAATAATAACTTGTTTTTCGTAGAAGAATTTCAAGATCATTAATAATATCTTATTATTAAATGAAACCTTTATTCAATTCGTATTGAAAATTAATAAAATTAATACGTAAATTTGGATTTTATTAGGTAAACTAAAGGGAAAACGAAGGTAATTTAGAAAGTGATAAAGAGAATCAAATAACCATAATTTTATTAAAAATTTCTCTTACTTGAAGTAAATATGATTCAGCAACAGTACGAGCACGAGTATTAAGACTTAATTTCATTTCGCTAATTTCTTTATCAACTTCTTCCATGAATTGAATAATGAAATCAACTAACTTATGTTTATACATTTGTTCAGTATGAAAATTGGTAATCAAAAAGCTAATATCATATCCCTAACAAAAATAAGAAAATAAAATAAAATAAAATAAATAAATTTGAAATTTACTATACATTATACATTAAATAAATACATTATCATTTCTACTTACAATAATTGGTTTCCTTCTAAGGATTATAAAATTTTCAGCTCTAATCATCATAAATCTAGTAAATTTATGGCACAAAATTCTTTCAATTTCATCGGCTTGTTTAATCTTGATACTAACACGAATTGAATTAACAGAAGGTTCTATCAAAACCTTTTCCTGTTTATTTCTACTAATTGTTAAAGGATTAACTACAACTTCCGATGATGATAATCTATGAAAAATCAAAAAGATTAGTTTTTTTTTATGTTTTTTAAAAATTAATTACATATCCAAGTACCTTGCTTCAACCTCAGGGTTATTATGACGTTCTGCAACTTGAGAAGAAAAGTTTTCTAAACAAAGTGCAGCAGTTAAAGTAGATCTGACAGCTGCTAAATATGGACGTAAAGTATTCGACTACATAATATAAATTTCTAAAAAATTTAACTTTTTTTAATAAAAAAAATAAATAAATAAAAACATGCCAACCATTATAAATTATTTATCGTTTTTTAAAGTAAAAATTTACAATCTAAATATTTGAAAATAATTTTAGAGTAGTGATTAAATAGGGAAATAAATTATGTATCACAAATTTTATCTAGAAGTTTCTGTCTTAATATATCGAATAAATTACATAAAAGACAAATTTATTAACAATGTCAAAGGCGACTTTCTTTTATTTTATATTTTTTTTTTAGTTTCAGGTTTTGATATTTTTTAAATCCTTCATTATCGTTTGATTGTCTATTTATTTTATTTTTTATTTTTTTCCTCGTTTCTACTTTTTCGGCTATTACTCTTTTCATCTTTTTTTACTAAATTCGTGGTTGACACCTTAAGTATCTGTAAACCATTTTATCATAAGTGAATTTGGATAATTTCTATTAAATTAGCATTATGTGAACTATTAATTCATTTCATTTGTTAGATAACTAACTTCGTATTAAAAGCAATCAACATTCGAATTTAACTTTATTAACTTAATAAAAAAATTTAGATTTTTATGTAACAAGAAAATATTTGTGCTTAATTAGGACTTAGACATAATTTAAAGATCCGCTGTCATTGCATTGCTTTATAAAATTCCTTTGTATGCTAGATTAGATTTTGGCAAATGAATCAAAAAATAAACTTTAATGATTAAGGAACAAAAAATAATCAAATCAAAAGTAACGGTCCAAATCGATCAGTAAAAAAGTAAAAAAAAAAAAAAATTAATAAATATAAAAAGATTCATATCGCGTTTACTTCTGAAGAAATAAAAATCGTCTTAAAGAGAAAAAAGAGAAAAAGAAATAAACAATAAAAAAAATAAAAAAGTAAAAAGTCTTCCTTCATCACAACAGATAGGCAGCATTAGATGATTTGATTTTTCCAACATTTGATAGATAGTATTTTTTTTAAATCATGTTTATTTTAATTATTAAATTATTTTTTTTTTCTGATTCGTGACGGAGGCTAGATCGATTGGATCCATAAAAATATTTCTTTTTTTATTTTATTTTATTTTACAGTTGGATTGCCTCGGGCACATAGGCAGGTTTCTTTTTTTTTTCGAGTTGAATCGCTTCAATTTGCATAGATAAAGTTATTTTTAATAATTTAAAAAATTGCTGCGGATGCAATGGCTTTTTTTTTTAGATTTGCGTCTTTTAGTTTCAGAAAGTTTTAAAAGCAGATGTAACAATGTAATAGTTAAAAGTGGATCATTCAGGCCTCCTGGTTTTGATTAAAACAGATTCTTGTGATAAAAACAATATATAATATATTTATGAAATATTGATTAATAATTCTGTCTGTATACTACCCACTTATTCTCTCACACCACCCACTATAATATATAGAGTATTACCACTTATGAAAGAAGATTAGACTACTTGGTACATTCGGGGCTAGAGTCAACCTATAGACATCACCTCCTTCCACAAGTGGGAGCATAATCACTCACAAGAGTGAATGCAAACTAAGGTATAAACAAATGGATTCTGTCCTTGAAATGTGGATTCAAAAATCTACATGATCTTCGATCACTAATTATGGAAAGATTTCCTATTTATATAGATACATTTATTTGTTTATTTCTTCGTAGTAATGATATCACTCTGCAAAAACTAGAAAACAAAATATTGCTGCCTGCAAGGTTCATTTTCCATCTTTGCTTAAACCATTATCATATCTGCTCCATTTGTATACTTAAGTAGAGCTTCTGCAAGAAATCATTTATTACCATTGATGGTAAATTAACCACTCGTGCTATGGTTTCCCTTGGATGTGATTTTTCGATAGATCGTAGGATCCAATCGAGATATTTTCTCAGGCTGCATGATGGAGGTTTACAGAGAATCTCGGAACTACATCCATGATATGACCTTCTCTATTATATGCTTTTATTCCCAAAGGTGATGATGATTGGCATGTGGACATTCCTCTATCGGGAGAAAGAGTTAAGCGAAATCTCTACAAATATATGTATAAAAAAGGCCAGCTAGTTAGGTCTAGTAAACTAACGCAACTAAAGGTATAAAAGTAACGTATTTTCATGTATAACATCAAGTCGTTCGAGACTTAGTAGATCATATGATCCGTACTAGCAAATAAGAAGTGATTTTTTTTATTACTCGAATAATTAATTGGCTTTAAAGAAATGTAAGGCGGTTTTAAAAGAAGGTTTATTGAAAACAAGTTACATGAGCGAGAATTCTATTTATTCATGTTTATAATTAGTTTATTAGTGTGAGAGATTTTTTTCTAACCAGATTTTCGGGTATGACTCCTGTAATTGAATTGAAATATAATTCATTTTTGAATATTGATCATTGAGATGGATGTGCCGTATGATGGAATGACTGTGGAATTTATGCTCTACAGTACGATTGGAAGACAAAAATGAAATTTTGGAACAAATTTCCCATATAATAGATTTTCCACACATAATTGTTTTCTACAAATGTTTGTTGTTTTTTGGAAATTTTCATGACCACGAATTTTATAATTTTCTAAAATGTCGATTGATCATGTATATTATCGTAATTAAATAAAATTGTTTCGTACCAATGGTTTAACATTCATGAATCATTATTTATTTCACAAAGCATAACGAAAAAGTGGGATTATTGACAAATAATATATGATTTTACTTGATCATCGTTTTTGAGATTTATTGATAAATAAAAAATTAAAAGATTTTTCTAAGTATTGATTCTATAAAGAATATAAATTTGAACAGACGTTAATTATTAAATTTTGGTATTATAGATCAAAATTTCATTTGAAAAAAGTTTTCAACCCCCTAAAAATCACCTTAAGAATAATGGGTTTTTATTTGAAGTATGTTAAACTGAATTTCAATTCTGAGATATTTGGAATGAAGCACTAACCCATTTAAATAAATCCCTAACTGTGAAAAAATAAACAACAATTCAATTAAGCGGTTCACTTTGTTTTATTATTATGTTTAGAACTAACATGCTAAAGCGAATACCATTCAATATATTTCATGCAAATCGAATAAGCCGATTTACATCTCTTAATGAAGTTCGAGAAAATAAAACAAACGAACCGAAAAAGAAAATTATGAAAAAAACTGGTATTAAAAAAAAAAAAAAAAAAATTTAAAACAAGCAATTTAACACACTTTCTATTCATTTTAGAAAGAGATCCAAATCTGCCTCCTTTGTTGCCAAAAAAAGATGTATATTTATTAAATAACTCAAATAATTCAATTGCTTAATTAATTAAGATCAATTTAAAATTTTTTCGTTTTTTCACTTTTAGACGCATTCGATCGATACAGACACGATCCAAAAAATGTTTACCGATAAAAAATGTATCTCTGGAACAGTTTCCACCGATTATTTTAGTTTGGTTGTACGGAGATGGCGTGAAAATGACACATTTTTTAGTCAGTAAAATTTTATTTATATTTCTTTTTAAAAAGCCTATAAATTGATTACGAATTTTTATGAATTTTATTTTAAGCAAAGAAAACTCACGAGCCAATTGAAAATTTTCGATTACAAATTGTGGTATCCAAAAAGAATGTATCTAAACTAGCGGTAGTAAGAGCTCGTATTAGAAGAAGAATTCGTGAATCAGCAAGATTTGCATTACCTATCGTAGGGATAAAAAGTTAAGTATCATTAAATATATTTATTTGAGAGTGATTAATTAATAACCATTTTTTTGTTTGAATCGAAATTAGGACATGATTATTTATTCTTTGCTAATTTGAAAGCGTATGATGCACCCTGGTTACGACTTTGTTCGGTGGTTGAATCCGCAATTGGGAATTCAAAGTTATATCGTACTGAAAAGAGTCATGCAAGTGGTTTTAGAGGTCGTAGTTATACTGGTAATTACGCCTCAAACGAAAAGCAAGATCTGAAAAAAACAGTTGAAAATAAATATCATCAAAAAAGCCAGAATATAAAAGACAAATAAGGTTATATAGATAGACAGTTAGATAGATTTTACAAACCTTTTTCTTTATGATCTGTAAAGTTTTATTATTCTGCAATGAAAATTCTTGAAAATTCTATACTTCCATACTTGATTCACTTTTCTCTCCAAATTTTTCTCTGTCTAACCTTTCTCGTTCAATCATTTTATTCAAAACAATTGTTTCAAAATCTTTATATCCAAATGTTTGCTTCTATAAGGAATAGTAAATTTAATAGATTATCGAAAAAAAATGGAATTTTAAATAAAATCAAAAACTTTACTGATGAAGGCCTTTGTGCTGAATTAGTTCTCTGTGTTGTTGATGCTTTCGACCTTTGATCGGAAAGTCGTAACTTTTCCTCTTTTTCCTGCCTTCTTCGAGCTGTTTCCTCCTTAATCCGTTCAATCTTTGCCTCTCGAGATTCCTGTGAAAAAGTTGTTGCCTTTTTCGTCTGTTTTGCAGCTTTCTCTCTTTCCTCAAGTTCTGAAAAAATAAATTTGTGAATAACGAAGCAATTTATAATAATTTAACTAATTACATTAAAGACCAAGAATCACCTTCTTTCATAACCTTTCGTTTAGCATCCAACTTTTCAAATCTTTTCTTGCTCTCAATCTTTGCTTTATAAATGTTATCATATTCCAATTTTTTCCGTGGATCAGTTAATGTTTCGTAAGCAATCGATATTTGATGAAATAATTTGGTTGCTATTCAATAAGAATACAGAAAAAATATTTAGGTTATAAATTTATTTTATTTTTATTTTTATTTTTTTTTAAAAAAAAGGTCAAATACTAAACCTGATTCAACATTATTTATATTTTTATCAGGATGATATTTAAAAGCATTACGACGATATGCTTTATCAATTTCTTCTCTTGTGCTATTGTAATTAATTTCAAGAAGTTCATAAAGATCTAAGTCTTTTACTTCTAAATTCATTTTTTTGAATTTTGGAATGAAAAAATTATTGGCATTCTACTTATTATACTTATCACGTGGTTGAATTTCCATGAGGAAATTCGGAATTTTTCGGAGCTGATATTCTCTGCAAAAAATTCTGGATGATTTATTGAATAATAAACAAAATGTTGTTGGGAAATCTGTACAAAGTAAAAAGAAAATAAAAAATAAAAATAAAAAAAAACAGAGAATATTCGAAAAAGCAATACTCAATTCAAGGAAATATGGTAGACCATAAATAAATTATATAGCCTTATAATTATAATCAAATTAATAATTAAAGTATTCAGAATCTATTATTATTTAGACAGAAATATTTGAATTGGTAACATCAATTTAGACACTAATGAAATAATTGTTTGATATCGGTACTACTAAACGGGAGTCCGCATTTTGCACATTTACGGTTACGTGCTTTTTCTTGTGCTTCAAGACATTCCTTACAAAATGTATGCATACATTTCAATAAGCAATGCGATTTGAATCGAATAGCGCAAGACGAACATTTAAGTAGTTTCTTTTTGATAATTATACATAAAATAAGTAAATTAATTATATGAAATTTTTAATAATAATATAAAAGAAAATGAAGTTGAAAGAAAAAATTACCTCATAATTCTGAATTAGTTGTTGCTCAGTAGTGTCTGATACTTGTGTCCTTCGATGATCTTCAGCTTGTCTTTTATACATTTCAACCTCTTCGGTCAATCTTCTTGACTTGTGGGCTTCTTTTTCACATGATTTTATGCTCTCTTCGAGTTGTTTTTTCAACTAAAATTTTTTGGTGCCAAATTTTAAGCAAAACTTTTTTTTTGTGCTAAAATTAAACAATTCAATAATATCACACCTCGTTATGTGTAGTCATACTTCTTTCAATCTTATCTTTCAAATCTTTATTCTGTTGTGTAAATTCATGCAATTTAAGTTTATGTACATCTACAACTTGTTTGGAACATCCTAGTTCTTTGTTGGCATTATCCTGTCAATTTTAAATAATGAATCAAATCAAAATCAATTTAAAAATGAAATAATTTGTCAATAAAAAATTTCCAAACCAGTTGTGATTTGAGATTCTCTTCCAGATAGCCTTTTTGTCGTAAGAGATCCGTTTGATTTTGAATAACCGTAGATAAATGATTCTTCTGTTTTTTTAAAGAAACATTTTCCATCCATATGGAGTTCAATTTCTGTTTCACTTTTGCTTCCTATTAGATATTTATGTAAAATTTAATAAAGACATAATTATAAACAATTATATTTCTATATAAAAATACATACAGATTCTCGCGCATTTTGCAATCTTTCATCATGTGCTATAATTTCAAAAACTTTGACAGTATTTTCTTGGTCTTGACGTGCCCAGTGATCACCTAAAACTTCAAGTTCTTGTAATAACTGCTTTTCATTCTATAACATTAATCATAATATTAATAATATAAAAAGAAAAGATAAAAGTTACTACTTTCATGTAATATCAATAATAATTAATGAAAATAATGATATGATAATACACATACTTTTTTTAGATAATCGCACTCTAACTCAATTTTCTCAATCTTCTTCTCGGCTTCTTCGATCTTTGTAGTAAGCATATGTAATGGATCATCTCCGGGATCTTTAATACCATATTTCTCGTCATATTCATCCAGCCTACTTTTTAATTCTTCCACTTCTTGTTTTAACCTAGCCTTCGAAGTTATAACATCATGATAATCTCCCATGTCAAAATTGTTCTTTAACTCATCAATTTCTCTTTGAAGCTCGATTCTTATTTTCTCTGATTTGCTACAAAGATTTATTTTCAAAAGTCAATTCATATTATAAATTACACAATATTAGTCCAACTAAAATATTTGAAAATTTACTTTAGTTCTTCTTGTAGATGATGATCATATGATAATTGTTTTTTTATTAACTCAAATGAATTTTTTCCTTGTTGAATTTCCTCATAAGTAACATCCGGTGGTTCTGCAGGTGTACAATAAAAATCGATTGCTTGTTTATTACCTTCACTAGCAGAAATCTTCATATTAAGCCTCTGAATCTCTGTCATTAACTGACGTATTATTGTTTTTCTATCATTAGCGAGTACCCTTAGGGCAGATATTTGACGAAATTCTTGCGGTAACATTGCTCTCAATTTATCCACCTCCATTGAAACATCATCTCTTTGAGCACGAATTCGATCTAGATCAAAAAGAAGCTTATTCAATTGATCTTCAGTTTCTTTTATAGTTTGTTTTGTTTCTTCCTAATAATATTATAAAATTAAAATGAATGCTTTATAAATAATTTAAACGGAACTGATTCAAGTGATAATATTCACAAATTGGGTTGGCCCGATCACAAACTAAAAAGGTTGATTCCAGATGAACTTTTTTTTTTAACATTAAGAGCTCGATATTTATTAGCCCAACACAATGAAATTTATGAATACACCAAGCTTACGTTTTATATCAAGGTAATCTCATACAAAAATATAAAATAGAATAAATAAAAAAAAATCTCACTTGTATTTGATTTGTGGCCGAGTTTCGCGTTGCTGTCATTTTTTCCATGTCACGACTATTCTGTTCCATAACCGTCCGCATATAATCATAAGTGTCTTTACAATGAAAATATTGAACTTGTAAATTTCGATAAACTTGCGACTCTATTATACGGTCTTCAGGAAGGTTTTTAATCTTAATATATTTTATATAAAAAAGTTCATTAACACATAAAAATAAGATATAAAAAATCTACATAATACATAAAAATTATACTTGTTCTCGGAGATGAAGAATTTCTTCCTTTAATTTAGATCGTTCGTTAGATAAGTCCTCCAATTCTTTCAATCGTGATTCGGCCAAAAATTTAAATTGTTTTAAATTTTCTTCTGTTTGACGATTACTATGATTGGACTATAAGAATAAAAAAGTAAATTATTTAAATGATTGAATCAATATAGTAATAATTTTATCAATAAAAAGGAAACCTTATCATTCTCAGGAACGGATGACGATCCGAAGATATTACTTCCAGGATGTGTCCAAAGTCCAAGAGTCACGCTTTTAGATCTATCAAAGCGCTTTTCTGCCTGTGAAAGCTCATCCTTAGTAATCTCAAGACGTCCTTCAACTTCTTCAAGTCGATTTTTTGTTTTTTCGAGTTCGTCCTTGATAGTACTCATCTATTGTTTTTTTTTTTAATTTGATAAAAATGATGACTTAATGATAAAGTTTAAAACAGTGTAGATATTGTATTTAAAAAAATATATAAATATCTTTTAAACAACAGCATGTGTACCTCGAATGATACCGTGTGATGCTGTTCTTGTAATTCATCGAGTTCCTTCTGATTACGCTTGTTGAGAAGATTCAGGCTTTCGTTTTCATTCTTAAGGCTTATAATTACTTTACTCTCCTTCAACAATGGATCTTTTTCATTTTGTAAGAATTTTATTAATTTATTTCTTTGTTCTATCCACGCAATTATCTTCTCTAGTAGTACGGTAATAACTTCTTTAGTAATTTCAAACTTTTCTGACAATGATTTCTCAATACTTTCGATAATTCCATCATCTTGCTCAAATTGTGATATTTGAGCAAGGAATTTTGATTCTCTAAGTTGCACTTAAGCATAAACATAATCAATAATTTTATAAATTAAAAATTTTATTAAATATTAAATTTTAGTATAAATATATATTAAAATTAAACAACAGATAAAGGGTTAAAAAAAAGAAAAAGAATTTTAGACTAATAATTATAAACAATTCATAAATTACATAATAATTATTATGCTAATTACCGTCTGAAGGAATCAAGCTCGACAAATATCCATCTTCATCAACTCTGGATATAATCATTCGTAAATCGTTTAGTAGCTAAAACAAATGTAATTTTTATTTTTTAAAAAAAAATATATGAATACGCATATAATACATTAAACTATAAATGGAAAATTAAATACCTTATTCCAACACCTATTTACAACACTTAAATGGTCTTCATAATTAATCTGCTTTTCTTTAAGTTGTTCGTTCCATTTATTTATCCGCTCACTTTCACGTTTATACTCTCGCAAAGCACGGATAATAGCTTCCTTTTGAAAACACTAATGTTATATGAATAAAAGGTCATTATTAAAACCTGTTTTTATACTGCATAATAACGATTTAAAGTTTCTTGAAACTAAACCTCGAGCCATTTTGGATCAGAAATATCCAGATTAGCAAAATCCTGGTTATTATTTGAGCTACTTGAGGAGGAAGTGGCTTGACCATTTACACTTTGACTTGGCCTTGATTGTTGTGATGATAAAAGTTGTCTCTTAGGAGGAGGACTTTTGTCCGATGAAGACGAGCTTTGTTCCGAGTAGGTTCTTTTTCTATCTTCCATTGTTTCCATGGTTTGGTTATATATCTATGGACTACGAAAAGATCAACAACTATCAAGTCGAAATTAAACACTTTCTCCTTTTGCTCGTTCCTATTGGTTACAATTCCCGATGAATAACCCTAATCCTATAAATATTTTTTGACCCCCTGTAGTACTTTATTTTTGACCAGCATTACGGCATTAAGAACAAAATAATTGAAATTAATATAATTTTTAAAAGGTTTTTTTTATATAATAATTCTAATAATTTGCTTAATCTTATAAATTATATATATATGGAAGGTGATCAGTAGAAAAGGGAAATCCAAAATTTTTGTTAATTTTTATTATTAAGCTATTGTGCATATGAGATCAGCCAAATGATGGTCCAATTAAGGTTGTTTGTCTAAACTCATTTTGGATTTGGCTAAATATCTAAACCTTTAATTTCGCTAAATTTTTATTGTTTGATATAGTTTCGCCATTTTTATAAGCTTTGATATAGTTTTACCTTTTTTTGAATTTCGCAGATTTTTTAATAAGATTTTAATATAATTTA